TGGATCTGAGCCATTCCTGGCTTGATCTGCTCCCTACCGACCTTCCCTCATCTAAGCAGATTATTGTCTCTGCTAAACTCAAAATTAGATGGTCTTTAAAATCCAAATTTACGTATATCTGTATAGATAGAAAGACTTCCTACTCCCCGAGCCCTGAAACTCTCTCAAAATGCTCCCTGAACAGACAGTGGACTCTGTTCCTTGTATACACAGGAGCTGGTTCTCCATGTCTTCAGGTCTTGTTCTGTCTTTAGCCACCCTTGGTGACACATCTACCTCCTCCCACGTACTCTCCCATCAATTAAACATGGACTGTGATGTCTTGGCAGTGAAAGAATGTCTTACTCCTTACACTTGGGGCTGACTCACATTCATTTAAGACCTTGTATATGACTTTTCCAAATGGTTTTCATTGTCCAAGGCCCTGAAATTTTTCTCCTTTCCTGACAAAGCTACCACTATGTTCTGCCAACATTTTGGAGAGGCCTCTCTAACAATGGTCACCCCTAGTCAGGGAGTTTTTCACCTCTTAGATCATTGCTCCTTTCGAGATTTCATGAAGGCTATAAACCTGTGCTCTTAATATGGTAGCACTAACCACTTATGACTATTCACTTTTAAAATTAAATTAACTAAAATTAAATAAAATTTAAAATTCAGTTCCTCAGTCACAATAGCTAAATTTTGAGTGGTCAACAGCCACATGTGTTCAGTAGCTACTATGTTGGATGGCACAGAACATTTTCATTAACACAGAAAGTTCTATCAGACAGCACTGCATAGACCCTCTCTCCCCAGAATGCAATTTGTACTTACATAAAAAATGTTGCAGGCAATTTTAGGTGACTCACAGATACCCCCCACTTCCTAAGCCCATCTACATCTCCCCGAGGTGTTAGGAACCCCTCTCTAATATGGACGGGGAGTACATGGTGATCCTGGGGTCTACAGAGGAGACGAGTATCAAGCAAATCCTAGTTCAGAAGTCAGTAATACTTTTCCCTTAACACAAATTCTTCAGTGCATGAGAGTTCCTTGAGAGTTGAAGAAGAATCCCGGCCTTTTATGAAACTGTCCCATTCTTTCTGTTAGTTTCATTCATTCATTTATCTAATGTTTATCGAGCTCCTACTTTATGCTCATGCTGACCTAGGCAAGGGGATACAAGAGTAAATAAAATTGAGAATATTCCTGACCTCATGGAGCTTATATTCTTGTAGTACAGAAAGACAATAAACAAACAAGCACGTAAATTTCAGATCTATTTCTGTAAGCCTGAACATGTAATTCCCCTGCTTAAAACTCTTCTAGGACATTTTCTCCTGGATAGCAGAGGTGATTAAAATTATCTGTGGGAGTTAAGTATCTATATGAGGTTACTTCAAAAAGTTCATGGAAAAATAGAATTGAAAGACATTATGAATCTGCATGAAATTCTGATGTACCCTTGTATATGCCAGATGTACCAAAGGTGATCCACAAACTAAATTAAACCTTGGCCACACTCCAAAGTTAAAGCCATAATCTACCTTTGTCATAAGAGAGTTCTATCCGTACTTAAATAGTTGGGATTATAGCACACTCACTTTCTACATAAATTCTAGGTATTTTGTTCTCTAATCTCCAGATTGTTTTTGATTTTGTAAGAAACTGTATAAGCAAATAGGAGACCTTGCCAAATTCCAAAGTTTATTTCAAGCTACCTCCCTTATATGGTTTCTGCATGGGCAATCCCAGATGTTTTTTAATTGCTCATTCCACTGGGAACTTCCCCAATGTTTGCTATGGTTTCATCATGTTCATTTCAACTTGCCCAGCTATATGACAGCTGTTTTTCTTCAAAGATTATATTTGGGGCAGGCCTGAGTTGGGATGACATTTTCTCTTCTTCTAATATAATTCACATTCATAAAATTAAACACATTACCACCAGATTGCCTTAATTAAACACATATGTATATATAAGAAGCCATGTCCTTACTTTCCTTGCTCCAAAGTTTTGTATTTTACCATGCTTGTCAACTTCCCAAAAGAATCAATCAGTTGGTTCATTTCTAAGATGGCCCAATGTATCTTTTCTTTCATCTCTACCTCTCTTCCTCCTTTTCTTTCTTCCACATCACACAAAACACAGCACAGACACTCTCTGGGTTTACTTGGTACCACTAGTCCTCAACTTGACTAGAAGACTTTGGGGAAAATGTCAAAGACAAGAGATCTACAATCTTTCATCATTTTGCAGCCCCTTTACCACGTTTTTCCATAAAAGTCTTTCCTCCTTTTTTTTAATGGAGAAAATGACAAAAACACTTATTTTAGTATGTGTCTCTAAAAGATAAGAAAATTTGATAAACATAACCGCACTAAAAATGTAACAATGATTTCATAATAGCAAATATTGAGGCAGTGTTCTGATTTCCAGAGGTTTCATAATATCAAATGTTATTAATCTTTTTTAAAAAACCAAAATCCAAATAAATTTTACACCTTGTGATTAGTTAATAAGTTTTTTAAGTCTCTTTCAAAGTACAGGTTTCCTTTCCACTTCTTTCTTACCTTGCGATTTATCTGCTAAAGAAACTCAATTGTTTCTCTAGTAGCAATTCCCACAGCTGATTTTTGATGAATATACCCTCATGGTGCAGTTTAACATCCACGGGATTCTGAAGTTTGGCTGTAGGCATGTTTGATTATCTTTACACTTTAAGTCCTCAAGTAATTTGAATATATTAATACAAATTCCACATGCTCTTTTTCCGGAATAAATATTCCAGATATTCCCTAAATAATATGTCCATTCTGTAAGTTCCCTGTTGTAAATTTCAAGTTAAGAAATTTTCTTTGTTTTTGAAGGGTGCACACAAGGAAAAAAAACTTTTTGAGATTTATTTCCTCTAGATACCCATTAGAGGGCGACATTTCCTATGATATTATATTTCCCCTATTAAATTTTAAATTGCACCAAATTCGTTTCTGTATTTTTGACAAGTTGAACCTCGTTACCTACTTTGACTTGTAGTCTCACTTCTGTAAAATGTGACTGTGTTTTGATCTCTGCCGACTTGTGTCTTTCACATGACTTCCAGCCTTGACTCCGTTTCCAATTCAAACCATCAGGCGGCGACATTGCATAAACAAACACCAGCGGAAAGCAAAAAATTAAACGAAACTGCCCAATAAAAAGCAGTGACACAGTGGAAAGGGCCATTAATTTAAGAAGAAAAGAGACAAACCAGACATTTCTAGTTCGTACCCAACTCACGGTCCAAGGTCGGAACTGTGTAAAAATACGAGACAATGGGGCCATTCAGGAGCGGCCAGGATGACTTGGCGCAGCGCGTGCACAATCCCCCCTTGATTCGCGGCCCCACTGCAGGGGGCATGTGAGCGTTCGTGCACGTGTGTGAACAGTCAGAGGCAGCCGCGGGACGCCCGTGGACTGGCCGTGGAGCTGCTGGAAGCGATAACGCTCTGGCCGACAGCTCTGGACACACGCCCCAAGCAAGACAGGTTTACATCGGCGCTTCTAGGGGGGCTGCCACTCATTTCACCCCGGATAACCGAGTCGTGTCGGGTAAAACAGCTTGCCCACCGGCACACCGGTAGAAGGTGAACACCTGGGTCAGTGCCAGGGACCTCTCTCGACTCCTTCCACTCTTCTTGTAACAGCCTCTCCCCCCCCCCCAAAGACCCACCTGGCAGCAAGTGGTATCATTATATAGAGGAGGAGGGAACAGGGAAGTCACGGATCTGAGAAACTGATAAAAGTTAGGACCTTCCCTCCATAGTCATCCTCGGAAAACTGCGTGCGAAACTGCAAATGGGGCTGGAGTCGGGGATCGCAGGTTTCCTGGAGCCCGTCCATTTATCTTATCCCAGGTTAAGAATAAATTCTGTTCTGACTGGAGCCGTAAAGAAAAACCAGACATTTCGGAAGAGAAGCAGAGGCGTCCCCCCCCCCCCCCCCCCC